ATAATTATTAAATTTGATCATTGTTCTTCCTCATTGTAGTCTTTAGACAGAATTCAGGGCTTTAGGCCCTAATTACATATTGTAGAAATTTATTTTTCAAATGCACCAGATTGAAAAGCAAACCCGATTCACTAATCCATTTAATTTCTTACCCAATAAACCTCATTTGGTTTGCTGAACACACAAAACATCAAGACCAAAAGCAATCTCCTTTGTTTTAAGCCAGAGCAACTATCTTCCTAAAAGGGCAACGGAGATGCCCAAATTGCTTTGTCATTTGGTTGGTGACAGAACTAAATTAACCAGCATTTCAAGGTTTTAGGAAAAAGTTTAAAACCCCAGCAGCTTGCAACACATTTAGCTGTCTCAATATCTTGGCGTGATTCTTTTAAATTAACTTTTCATTTCAAGTGGGGCAGTCTGGGAAACTCAGTAATGTTTTGAATACCTGCCCAAATGTCACAACTTTTATTAATAATGACTAAGACTCATTAAGTGCTTTTTAGTTTGCAGAGTGCTTCTAATATATTATATTACTTGATCCTCAGGACAAGCCTAGGAGGAGCTAGGACTCGAATCCCTGCTGTCTGATCTGAATCCTTCACTCCTTCCAAAAAGCAGTGGCTACATCCTCGTATATTAACAAGCCTTGGGATTAACACTGAAAGATTCTTCAGAAGTTCCATGGTAGAGGTTTACCTCTGGAGAGATGGGGCCAGTTTAGGGTGGAGCCAAGATGCTTTACTAGGAACACATACAGGGGAATTAATTGAAAGTTTATGGAATAAATGCTAATAGACTTCATTTCCTTAAGGGAAGAAATTAGAAGATGCTGCTTTGAGGAAGCTAACTTGCCCAAAAGAAAAAAAATCACATATTGAAATTTTGGCTTCCCCTATCAAAATAGCTTAGTCTTCACCCAGTTACCATAAAGTGAAGCCACCAGTCAAGCCACTAACTCAGAGATTGTACATCTTTTTTAGTGCTTCAGTCGTAAATAAGAACAAACTCAGAAACAAAATTCTAGATATGAAAAACATGACAGTAGGAAAAAAAAAATAGAAGGAAAGATAAAGTTGTGAAAATCTTCCAGAAAGTAGAATAAAAAGATAGAGATAGAAAATAAGACAAAAAATGGTAAGAAAATTGAAGGACCCTTCCAGCGGGTCCAATATCCAATAGGGGCACCTCAAATAGAGTACAGGGAAACTAAGGGGAGGATTTTATCAAAGAAATGTGACATCATTATTCTCCAGAACTGGAAGACAGAATTGGCCACAGTAAAAGAGCTGACCAAGTGGCCAACACTGTGAGCCAAAAACTTTACACCTAGATTATCATAGAGAAATATGAGAACACTTGCAAAAAAAAGGAGGGATCCTACATGCTTTCTGAGCAGGACATAGCCAAAGGATCAAGAATCAGGAAGGCATTGGATTTCTCTTTAGCAACCCTACAATTTGAAAACAGTGAATCAACACTTTCAAAATTATAGAAAAAAAATGATTTCCAACCTAGAATTCTATGCCAGCCAAACTACTCATTGAATAGGAGAGTAGCACAAAGACATTTTTAGACATGCACAATCTCAAAAATTAACCTACCATTTAACCTTTATTCAATAAGCTACTTAGAATTGCTCTTCCAAAACAAGGGCTTAAACCAAGAGAGAAAAAGGGCATCCAGGAAATGAGATTCCAGGCAGAAAAGAGTAAAGGGAGTCTCTGTGATGACAGGGAAAGGAAGCCCTGAGACAGCAGCTGCAGCAGCCTTGAGAACAAAGTGAGAAGGAGGCTGAGCTCCAGGAGAAGAGTCTTCAAGGAAACAAAAGAATGGAACTGAAAGATTGCATGATGTATCTGACTGGAAGAATTTTATAGTTCTGTTAGAGAGATCAGGAATGTATTCATAATAGGTATATATAGGCAAATCAAGAAATTAAAATAGGGCAATAATATTACAACTCAAAAAAAATATATAGAAAAGAGTAGCCATAGTACATCACATTGCTGAACTAGGAACAATACTATGTGGTCATAGTAATACAAACACTAAATTGCAACTTAACTAAAAATTGTGATATAAAAATGTTGGAAGGATAAGAGCAGGGGAAGAGGGCATGTAAGTGGGCTATGTCATTATCTTTCACGGTAAGAAGTTAATTGATAATGCCCGAAATTGAAAAATCAAGAAATACAAGTATGAGCATAAGCCTTTAAAAATAAGAATTCTTAAAAATAGAAGCAACAACTGTAAGAATTGAAGGGGTCGCACTAAGGAAAAAACATTAGTGTGAAGAGAGATGGGGAAAGGGATTGCTGATTTATATCCCAAATCTTTCAGGACTCTGACATTTTAAGTTCTATATCTTAAAATAATAAGCTCCATGTTAATTATACCTTTCCGTGGTCAGCTAAAACTTTCTGGACCATTTCCAGAAAGGGTCAAACATGCCATAGCTGTCATACTCTAGACAATGAGAACTGAATACTCCCTAAAAACTGAATTATTCTGACATTGCACTTATAATTATGAGCCAAAGTTCAAATCTGTTTGGCTGCCTAGAGCATCGGCAGCACCTGAGAAAGGGTAAATTTGGCTTTCGTTTTGCTTCTTGTTGACTTGTCCTTTGGAGTATATATACCATGTAAATTAACCATAGGAAATCCCTCTGAGGTGTTATTTTTCTCTTGCCAACCACTATGTGATTTTGGCTTTAAATATAGGAACATCAGCTACTGAATCATATGGATGTGGGCTTGAAATTCAGCTACTAGGAGCAATTAGCTGAGAGAGAGCTGAGGACAGGACAAAGTTATCAGAGTATAAGAGTAATGGAGTTACACTTTCCACTTTGATTTTGACTGTTAACTAATGTCAGCCCTGTGATAGATGCCACTTGCACCTTCTGTACCTCTCATTTACGAGGCATTTTTAAGAGAAGAATATAAAGGGAATAAGAGCTTAGCTGTTGAGATCAATTTGATAGAGAAAGAGCAAGAAGCCAGGTCTCATTATAAAAAAAATCTTCAATTTTCTCAGATTAGCCTCCTTTGCCCCCATTTCTTTACAGCATTAACAGGTAATGCCTTGGTCCCATTTTTCGTTGTATTGTTTTGGATTTTTTTCACTGGTATCTAATAATGCACAGACCTGTTAATATGCTTCTAGTTCTAATGAGTCTTGCTTTCAAAATATCAGAGTGCATGTACATGTGATGCCTTCTATGGAAATTGTGTAATTAAGGCAGCCCTCTATGCCACTACAGCATTGGAGGATCTCTGGGCCTCACTGCTACAGATGAAGCTGCAGTAATAAATCCATGCATTTTTTTATTGCTTATTCTAGATCTTTCTATAAGTTGTGTATGTATAATATTTGTAAAAACTAACATTTCAAGATATATGGTGATAATTGCTTTATTCTCCATAAGATGCCAAGATCCTTAGCACAAATTTCCACAGATTAAATCAACATGAACCATGTAAGGAAGGCTCCAGGCAAGAACCCTACTTCAATCATTTAAACCTTCCTTAAAAACATAAAAAGCCTTCATGTCCTACTATACGTTTCTCTAGCTTTTTTTATATCACTTCCTGAAATGTTAACTGAAGTGCAATGTGCATGCAGAAAACAGCACATATCCTAAAGAAACTGAGCACTCCTGCTTAACGAGCACTCAGACAAACAGAGCATGACCTCCTCTATTCCCTTTCTCAATCACCATCCCACAAGGATAACCACTGTGCTACCTTCTAACAGCATAGATTCATTTTCCCTGGTTTTTGTCTTTTATGGAAAGGTGCTCTTTTGTGTCTTGTTTCTCCTATTCAACATTATTCATATAAAGTTCATCCATATTGTTGAGTGCAGTTATAGTGTACTATTGCCATGTAGTATTCCATTACATGAATATACCACAAGTTTTCTATTTATTCTACTGTTGGTAGGTGTTTGGGCATTTTCAGCTTTAGTTTATTAAGAAACCAATGTATCTTTTGTTAAAGCTAAATAAGCGTATCTGTTTCATATACACTTAAGAGTGTATAGCTGTATCTCAGGATATGTATATGTTTAGCCTTAATATAATAGATATTGCCATACAGTTTTCGGAAGTAGTTGTGTCAATTTTTAGCTCTTTTATCCAGCACACATTTATTCAATGATATTCTCAGGAAAAGCAATATCATTAGATCACTTTTTTCTTCATTGTATATTTCAAAATCATGGCTGATGGTTATATAGTAGAGATGTGACCCATTTAAATGGACTTGCCACATAAAATAGAATGTTTTGATTAATGAATCATAATAAAAATTTTTCCCTGAAGAGACTGCAATAAATGCTTGGTCATTAGAGATGTCTGCAAACTCATGACAAAAGAAGAAATTTACCAGAATCTATATGGGAAAGTAAGTTCAGGCAATCTCTCAAATGAACAGTTCAGATGGAAGCTTTTCCAACAACAGTCTTCAAGTAGTCAGCAAAAATCTCAGTGGAGCGATTCTATGACCAAGAGCCAGACAATTTAGATATTGTCTCAACTCCACCAACCTTGTTTAAACCTCTGAGCCTTTATCTGAGCCTTTATTTTCTCATCTACAAGATAAGGGTCTTAATCCACACTTTATTATGAGGATCACATAAAAATACTTTGTAATTTTATGAAATAGACAGAGCTTGTGCTTTACATCAAAGAGCTATAAATATATTCTTAGATCATGATTTTAAATCCTTAGGTGCTTTCCAGTTGTATTTCTAGAGAATACATTTCCCTCTATCTTGTTTTAGCTCTGCTTCTAGTTATTACTATCTTGATTTTTAGCATTAAAAGTATTGCATATAGTTCACTTTCAGGGATCTCATTAATTAAATTATAAACATACCCTGGTGCTCATTAGTGTACCAGTTAGTTTACTAGTTGCATAGTGGATTTTCAGTAGTCCTTTGCCTCTGTGTTATCACATATTGATTAAAGATCAGTCCCTGGAATAAATGTTCATGCTCAGGTAGTTTACCTAATTAGTATCTTGGACATCAATATTTATTGAACCAGTCAATCATTACTTTTCTTGTTTTGCATAATATAGTATCTTTCCCTAATCAGTTCAAAAATCACATTACGTTATACTTTTTAGCACCTTTAGTTTTTGGTGTGAGTTGTTCTGAAAACAATTCTGATGTGGTTGAATATGTTTAATAGCCAGCAGAAAATACCAAAGTAGTCTTTTTCCTGCCTTGAGTATTTATCAGGGGTAAGTATAACAAGCAAAAGACTTTTTAATGTGTAGTAATTCAATAACTTTCCTTTCATTTCATTCTATCTCCTGCTCTCTTTTGTTTCTCTTTTTTATGTCCCAATGTATGCGACATGCAGTGTGTTTGGCGTAGTTATGCAGCTGATGAGAAATCTGTTTCCATTGCAACCTGGAAGCCACACTTGAAGGCCTTGCACACCTGCAGCCCTACCAAGTAGGTATCAGTGTGACAGCTGGTGCTGTAGTTGAGTCTTTTCAAGTTTGTTAAACAAACCATACGCACAAAAAAAAAGTGTCAATTTTTGGCTTGTCTTATTCTCTGTTGCTCTCAGAGAGATTCAAACCTGTATAGTAGCAATTCGGGCAGAAAACTTAATGGAATCAATATCATTTCTCACAATTAACAGACTGGGATTAAAGAGTGAAAGAACATAAACTTTTATAGAGATTTGCTTCTACTATTTCTTGCTTCTTTTCTAATATCTAATTTTATTAATACCACCACAACTCTAAAAGTAAGCACTACAGTTCTTCACAAAACAAGGATCATTTGTCTTCCTCCCATCACCTGACCCCAAAAGGAGAATGCTCTGAGAGCAATATGTCTTCCCATATCTAAGCCTCTCAGAGTCATTTCACGTCTGCATTCCCTTACAGGATGGTCCTCAAGCTTTCCCTTGCAGATCAAACTAATATCAGTAGCAAAAGAAGAGAAGGATCTGGGTCTTGATAATATTACGGTTTACAATGAGGCAATGGGACCAATCAGGTTAAAATTTGGAATTAGCATTCAAAATTTAAAAGTAATATCGCTACCATTCCCATTGTATTGGCCAAAGTAAATCACCCAGCCATGCCTGAACTCAAAGAGGATAGAAAAGTGCAATCCTATCATGTGCCTAGAAGGAGGTGAGAACCAAAAAAATTATGAACAGTCTTAATGATTAGCACAGTGATCTGTAACTTTAAAAAAGCAAAAAAGAAAGCCCTTAGTCCTGGAATCCTGGACTCCAGTTCAACTAGCAGAGCACATGTTAAATCATAATCACCATCTAATTAAAGAAGTCCTCATTGAAATACCAAAGCAAGTAAGTCACAAGAAAGGCTTTCTGTGAGTCACCCAGCTTGATTAGAATAGTCAGTTCCTCAGGTTGCTCAAAAGTTATTAAATTGCTCATCTGACTTAGTGTTTTAGAATACCAGCTCTTGCCCTTCATAGCCCAACAAAACATCAATCCTAGTGGCTTCATGGAATTCAAGGTACCCTGAGTCATAGCATGACTCAGGAAAACCACTTTGTTGTTACTGATCTGGATGGGATACGAACTGGGGAGACCTTCAAGACTTAGTCCCTGGCATAGCCATCTTAATGGAGGTTGGCAATGCAGCAGAATGCACACTGTCGGGAAGCAGCAGATCTGTTATTAACTAGCAGGATTCCTTATGTTGCTTCCCTGTCCTGCCTGGGCCTTGGGTTTCCCATCCACAAAGAGAAGGACAAGAGAGCTGCGCAAGATGATTCCTAAGCTCTATCGGGACATGTCTCCTGGAGATCAGTGTCTAAACTCCGTCAGCACCTGGGACAGAGATATTCATAAAATCCCAGGATGCTACAGAGGACAGAAGCATGGATACTGTTGAGTACATGTGTGGATAAGAATCCTCTTTTCATTTAGATCTTGAAATTCAGTTGAATTCCTTTTATCAAATATTAGACTCTTTCAAAGTTTTGCTATTATAAAAGGGGGGCACAACTCTTTCCTTAGGGGTATGAATCAAAAATGAGAATTATATAGAATTGTATTTCTTGTCTTTATAAATTCTGCTAGATAAATGTAAGAGGAAGATTAGTAGAAAGACCTATAGAGGCTTCTCAAGTGAAAGACTAGAGTAGTCTATTATCATATGTGATTAGTTGCCTTCCCACTTACGCAGTTTTTGGATGAAAAGTCATTCTGAAGCCTGGAAAAACTATTTAATAATGAGTCAAGTTCTCCCAGTAAATCAACTATTATTTTACTTACATGATTTCTTTCTTGTCCTCTGATATTTTCCCTGTGATAAGTGGGGGTGATGGTGGAGGAGGATTTATGCCAATACCTGCATTCTTCTTGTCCCACTGTACCTGTCAATCTTCCCCTCACTCTCCTTTCCCTGCAAGCTCATTGTTCTCTGGGCTCAGCCCCACTTACTGAAGAGCAGTTATTGTCCAGAATGACAGAGCAGTCACTGGTACAGTTCATGGGAACCTGGATGACCTAACACCTCTCCCTCTAGTGATGCTTCACTGTTTCAGATTGCAGTGGTTTTAATCTCTGTTGTTGTTATTGTTTGCTAAGCCAGTGAAAATGTGATGGAAATTACGGGCTCTTTCCCAAGAGAAATATTTGATGCACCAAAAAAAATCAAAAATTCGCCTACAATTTTGATGTATTCACAGACTCCTTGAAGCAAAGTTCAGAACCTTTGCTTTAGAAAGCAAGCCTGCTTTCGTCCAGTTTGTAGGTCTGTGAAGAGAATAATTCATAATGACTTAGAGGGATGTTTTTACATTTATAACTAGCTGGCTTGCTGAATGCAGAGTGATGTAGTAAGAAACAGACAAAAACTGCTTTTTATTTACCTAGTCTATTTCCCTGTAGCATTCAAAGCCTAAGAACTTCTACGGGGAAGGACAATTCATTCATTCATGTATTCATTCAAAAAGTATCATTGACACCCATTGCGTGCAAGGCACTGTTCTAGGCACTGGGAATGCAGGCAGAGAAAAAAGACAAGGAAGTTAGAATCTCAGGCTTCATTCAAGGGATGCTGGGAATAGACAATAAAAATTTTTAAAAAGTAAAATATAGGATAGATTAGATGGCAATAAATGCTAAGGAGAAAAGTAAAATAGGGAAGGAATTTAGGCAGCATCAGGAGCTACGATTTTAAATAGGTGGTCAGGGAAAAGATTGTGTTAACACCAACATCACCATCATCATGATCATCATTAAAAAGCACCAACCCCATGCTCTTGCTCCCCATAGTTTTAGAGATACAATGGGAAGCTTTGACTCCACCCAGGGAACAGGATGGGAGAGAGATCTAAGAAATAACCACGCAGGAGAGAGATCTAAGAAATAACCATGCAGGAGAGAGGTGCAGGGCAAGAGGCGTGCCGGACCCACTCAAACCTGCCAGGGACACAACCCAGCCATTTATTACTCTCTTCTCAGGTCTGGATTGTCTCTCACATACAAGTCAGAGGTCTTAACAGCTGTTATTTCAAAGTTTTGTCTTAATAACAGAAGGATTTATGGAGGGAAATATTTTTATTGATTTTCTTTTCAAAAAGCGTGAAGTGTATGCAAAGGGTGAAACATAGGTAAATATGCTATTTTAGGGAATGAGTTAGATAATTTATGAAGCTATGAGGAATTTTTATCAAGCTCCAAGGATGCCATGTGGTATCTTAAGAAGTCAGAATTTAGAGATTATTAACCCAATGCCTTCAATTTGCTTGTAAGAAAACCAAGACCCACAAGAAGGTAAGGTGCCTGCCCAATAGCACGCAGCTCATTTGCAAAGAGTAGGAGCTCCACACCATGATGCCTAGACCTAAATTTGCTGAAAATGAGTTATTAAAAATGCCACCCCATCTGCCCAAGAGTCTGGCTTAAAAAGGAAAAAAGAAAAAAAATGCCACCCCAACAGTAAGCTTAAAGAGTTCCGATAGATTTTTCTAAGTACCTGATTTATTCCAAAGGAATTCATACTTTATATAATACAAAAAAAAAAAATTCTGCCTCAACAAGTGACTAAGGTACAGGCCCCGGTCACACATTAATGAATCTAGATGTAGAAACCCAAAAGTTTCCCTAAAGCACAGGCACTACATCCACATTGTAACCCATAACATTGTGAGAGTCTTTGCTAATGCCGGTTAGATGAGAATCACTCTCTCTTAACCATGGATAACTGGCTCATGAAGAGTCTATAGGTTTTGGTTATATGTGAGCAGAGTTGGCTTTGCCAAGTAAATGTTGTGCTATCTCAGGTCTGTGCCACAGGAACCTGTGAAAAAGTTGGGTACATTTATATATTGCTTTTGTGGATCTTGCCTGAAAAGGGTTACTTAAGGTACTTGATTCCCCAATCTCCAATTTGGCCATTATCAAGTGCGATAAATGTATTCACCAGTTTATCATCATTTCTCTTCTGTCTGCACGCACCTGAAGGAAAGAGCAAGGGGAAGCATCAAGCAGGTTTGTGATTTCTGTTTTGCTACATGTTTGTTTATAAATCTAATGCCTAACAGATGTTTTAAATGTGTCTCATGTGAATAAAATCGATCAACAAATACAAGATGATTAAAAGTGACCTTTCACAAGATTGCCTGCAAAAGTTGCTACTTTATTGATTTTTTTCTCTCCCTTGGGAGCAAAGTGTCTTTCCATAACTCTCTCACAGCCTTGTTTTTTTACAATCTGCAGGGCATGGAACACTCAGGGAGGAGGGTAGAATAATTATGGTCTTTGATTAGTCCTTGCTGCCACTGCTATTTTTCCAGACAGAGTCTTATCCAAGTATTCGAATTAAGTGATCCAGAAAGTGAAAAAAAGGAATTCTTTTTCCTGAATGTTATAGACTCAGGTCCTTCTTTTGGAGTAAAAAAAAAAAAAGTCTTTTTTTGTTAAGAGGACACTGTGTATAGGAGATGAAAACCATCTCTCGGTGACATCTCCAGCCCATTGAGTGCTGAGGTTTACTCAGGTGATCTGATTCAAAATAAGAGATTTCCCTCACCCATCATTTAAGGTAGCCCTTTCCAAAATTCTCCAAATAATTATGGGCACTCTTTCATGTCTTAGATGGAAATGCTTTATCAGATTGCACAGCAGAGAGTTAGACCTCTGGGGATAGCAAATGAAATAGGGAACAGGAGATGAAAGAGAAAATTTTGATGTGTGAATGAGTACCAGGAAGGGTCTGGATTTGGGAGCAAAGCCCTGAAAAACAGAGCCAGGTAGATCCCAGCACTGAGATGTGAGGGATGGCAGAGGCAGAACCATCAGGAGAATCCCAGGTGCCTGGAAGGGAAGAAGGGACCCAAGTTTTTTCCTGTCATTGCCATTTGTTTCAGTAGAAAGAAAATGAAGGCATCCACCTGCCCAGAATTAGTCCCTTGGTGGTGGCCAAGGGGGTCCAGGGATTGTTCCTTTAGCTTTGTACTGTTATAATAATGATATTAATCATAATGCATTTATGCAGTACTGAAATTAGTTTTAAAAGTTCATGTGGGGCCGGGCGCGGTGGCTCACGCCTGTAATGGTAGCACTCTGGGAGGCTGAGGCGGGAGGGTCGCTTGAGGTCAGGAGTTCGAGACCAGCCTGAGCAAGAGCAAGACCTGTCTCTACCAAAAATAGAAAAAAATTGCCAGGCGTGGTGGCACGCACCTATAGTCCCAGCTATTTGGGAGGCTGATGCAGGAGGATCGCTAGAGCTCAGGAGTTGGAGGTTCCTGTGAGCTATGATGATGCCACTGCACTCTACCTGGGGTGACACAATGAGACTGTGTCTCAAAAAAAAAAAAAAATCACAAATCCTAACATAAATGCATTCATCTATGACAGGAGATAGACATGGTAGGACATACAACATCAGACACTCCTCTGAGTAGGTAAGCCTACCCAGGGGATGGCATTGAAGATTCTTGTCTTATTTGGTAGCCATGGAGTCAGAGCCAACAGCATTGGATGTTCCTCATGGTACTGCCGGAACATTTTAGTTGCCTAAAGAGTTGCTCTTTTCGATTTAGAGATATTTTTTTAGCAAAGAGCAATTTTAGTCATTAGACTCAGAATATTCTTTGCATAGATAACTGGAAGAGGCAAGGTGACCAATTCTAACCCTTCAGTCCTCTTTCTAGATTCCTTGCAGATCCCACCATTTTTCTGTTGTGACTTTACTTGAACAAAGTTACACAAAATAAAACATAGCCATTATAAGCTATGTTTTAGTCTCTTTGGTGATATTTGAAAAACTTTCCTTAACTCAAGAGTTATCCCTTTACAAATTCTCTCGAAGGGTGATTTGTCTCCAAATCCTAAGGACAGAGATTATCTATTAACTTCAGAGCCACTTGAGAGTAAGAGCCCCTGTCTTGGTTTCATCCTCCAAAATAAAGCTTTTGATACCCAAAGGAGACATTCATAAACCATGCGGAGGTGCTTGAATAAGTGTAACCTTTATGGCAATCCTGGGTAAGGGGTCACCTTGGGCTGACACAATGATATTGCACCTTTTTTCTATGTTAACATGGCAGAAAACAAAGACAAATTAAAATGTCCTATTGAGCTTCTGCTCACCAGTCCAAAAATGAGCCTCCTAGTCAGCTGTCACCATTCAAAAAAACTACCAGCCAAATTTTCTAAATTTTATGATATTCACATATATCTAAAACATTTAAATCTATGCAGCATGCTTGTGGCTGAGGTTGTCCAAGATAACTCACCCATAGGTTTGAATATGTACAGAACCACAGAGAATCACACACAGAAATTTCTTGCTTCTTTGTGGTCTTTGGACATTTGGTCACCTTGAAACAAGTCCTGTACTATGACTTAGCCTGGATACCTCACTTAATGCCTCACACTTCCTACACTTAGGTCTTCTATCCCCAAACTGTCTATCATATCCCCCTATGGAAAGCTATGACAGAGAATGTCCTTGAGAAATAATTTTTGGATATAGTGATAAAATGTCCCTGACCTCAAGTAATTTATGTGAAGAGAGATAAACACCAAGAAAAATGAGAAAAGAGGAGACATATAAAAAGAGAGAAAATGAAAAATCATAAAAACGTTGCAATAATCTAAACGAAATAAGCAGAAGCTTCCATTTTAATATTACCTTAGCTTTCACCTTGTTGTGCTCCATACGCAGAATTATCATACTGCATAATGAATGCAGAAAGACTATCATAATAACAATAGCAACAGTACTGTCTTAGAAAATAACAAATTTGTCCTTACCCAAGCAAAATATGCACAAAAAAAAAAATGCATTTACAGTGAGAGTTATCCCTTAGAGAAGAGCAGATCTGGGTCCAGAAAATTGTTAATTAATGCTTGACCCCATTTCAAATGAACTGATTAACACTGCCCGACTGCAGAGTGTTTTAGTGCCCTTGGGGCCATTGAGCTATTGATGGTAATTCAGATAAGCAAAATAGACAAGCTTCAGCTCAAGTAGGAGCCAACTTTTTTATCTCTCAGATATCTCAGAGCCTGGAATCTCCTAAATCCTTCCTTGTGGTTTGTCTTAGTGTTAAAAACGGAGAGTAACCTACGTGTGGATGAGCTCAACACAACAGCCAGCACTTCTCTCCCGACAGCTGTAGACAGGGCCGTACACAGAGAGGCTTTTCTTTCTGCAGAATGGATTAAGGTGTCAAACACATTCATATAATCCTTAATTAACTATGTTCCCTGCTTTGGAATGTCCTTGTTAAAAAGAGAAGATTTTTGTCTTTCTATAATGAGGTTAGGGTATGTTTAAACAAAATTCGTCTACTATGTTTTCAACTAAGGAATAATATCTCATTGTTTGCGACAGATCTAAAAATTATCTTTAAAAATACAAGCCATCGGTCTCCAGAACAGGTTTTTAAATATAGCTCAACCGAGCAATAGTGAAAATAATGTTTCTTTGGTTCTCTTCTGTTCAGATTCAGGTACAAATTACTGTTAGTCTCAACTGAGCCCGCTCTGTTCTTCCTCTACTTAGACCATAAATACAACATTTTTAGCATCATTTAATTACTCATTTCTTTTCCTCTGTCTTCCCACTGAAATAGTTCTAATCTCGTATGTGTGGTGGTAAATGTGTTTATTTATTTTATTCTAATTAATTACCCAATGAAGTAATTTTTCCAACCATTTTTTTAAACTGCCATTTTCAGAGAATAGAATTTATCTGTGAACCCATCTGGCCAGATTAACGCAGTATTCTCACCTTGAGGCTCCTGTGTTGTGCTCCCTTTCTCCTTGACCAGGTCGTGAAATAGTGGTCAGTTAGCCATCACATTGGTACAAAAGGGTTTTTCCTTCTTTCTCCCTAACAAAAGCAGAATATACCATCTGAGATTTGGGGATTGTTCATAAATCTCACTGCCTCTGCGTGGCCTGTCTTCTTAATCAACAATGGTTGGCTGTATACCTGCTTCATAGTTAAACTGCCTTAATTGCAGTTTATAAAGCATTACTAGAACCCTTTTAGACTTCGTAGACAGTAGACTATCTAAAGTTGCTTTAGCAGGTACCTGGAAGATAACAGATGCATGTCTTAAAAGTTAAGGCACAAATGACATTCTTTTATTACATTATGATCTTGTGCTGAGATCCACTGAGTGCTTTGTCTGAACCGCTCCTGCGTGGTTGGCTTTATTGGGTTCTGAGGCAGTGTGTGGCTCTTGGGAGAGAACTCTAGAACACTGGTGGAAAAGACTGTGTTCTTATATTTCTTCTGCATTTATTTTCCATTATTTGCATTTTCATTCTTCTGTGTGCAATGAATGATCTGCATGTGTTATTAAACTAAACTTAGGAAAACTAGACTTTATTTTTTTTCCAGCATAGTCAACTTGTGTCCTTATTGGCAAAATGTTAGGTTGTTTCAAAAACAATCTTTTCAAAATGGTCTCTCCTTCTGCTCACGTTTATTGATACAGGGAAAATGATTTAGTTTTTTAAAAATACATCATAAGACTTAAAATAAGAAATGTACTTTTTTTTACAAACTAACAACCTAGAATCTTTTCTTCCATTTTGTCAAACATGTATTCTATCTGATGATCTGTTTTGTATATTAACTGTAACTGCTGGTGTTTCACACAAATCCAGAACTTACGTTTTTAAATTTCAAAGCAATTAATGTTACCTACTTTATTGATGTCTGTAAATGTTTATTCTTAAAAGTTTTAAAATATTTTATTCTTCAATCATTTATACTATGTTCTATTGATATTTATTACAGGGGTTACTATAGTATAAAATATTTATATTCTTATTTTGATATCAAACAGAGGCTAACATGGACTACCATCATTTGTAATGCCTATTTCAAATCTAATTATTTCAACCTAACCATTAAGATCACTGGATATATTCAAGCAGCACAATTAAGCTACATAGTACTCACTGCTTAAATAGTCTGTGTACTTATATATGAAAAACAATAAAGCCAAATGGCTTTGTTTTTATAAAAAGAAAGAAAAACTCCCCAAGCACTTTCCTAGTGGTGAAATACTTAGTAATGTGCTGCTCTATTTCCCTCGCTCCTAGTAAGTTCTGTAGTAATAAGCAGAAGCTCTTCAGAATGTACACCTCACGGAAGCAGAGGTACCCAGCATCCCAGCTATTGACATGAGATTTGAGAATGCCAACTAACCTCAGGTGCATGATCAGGTTACACCGCCACCCCACTTGAGCCCTGTTCAGAGACTCACTCTTCCTAGGGACTTCTCGAATGAGGTTTTCAGCCCGCTTGTAATTTTCCTTGTTGCTTGTTGCCTGCTTTGATTCTCTCCACCATTGGTTCAAACAGGCAGCGTCCCGCGTTAGCATTGGCAGTCAGCCCTCTGGCGCCTCCTTGTGGTTGGACAACTGCTGAGCTGCTGCACGCACTGGATTGTGATGGCTCAGTTGCCATATTGTGCCTGAGGCGAGAATTTGCAAAGCGCTTATCCCATAAAGGGCTAAAACCCTAATTAAGTATAACAATAACTACAGCATTCCAAGCCCTAGAGTATTACTGTGGGGTTATGATGATGCCACACAGTTCCCTGGCAGACAACATCCGGTAGTAGGCTGCATGCTGGGCCACTTGTCTAACCGGCTGGTTCCTAGAGAGGGAACAACTCCCCTGCGGAGTGGTTGCTCAGGCTCCTCTTAGCATGGTCCTCAGCTGGGAATGTGGGACTGCACACTAGGAAAGATGCTCCAATCAATGACCACAGCGACCTTTGGTTACTTTGTCTAAAGACAGACCTCCCTGTCAGTCCCTTGGGGATAATCTTCGGCAATCTCTTCCTAGAAACACTGTTACATTAATCTTCCTCAAAAATCGTGTTTATAGATGTCACCAAAAAAAGCAGGAAAATAATGAAAACTTTAGTGTACCAGTGAAGAGTCTATATTTTTAATCAATGTGTGTTTTCAATAACAGCCACCTAATCAGTTTAATAGTCTTCTAATCAAGATGCTCTGTTGATTTTCAAAGCAGAAACAAAGGAGAAAAAGTAATAAAAATGAGCTTTTTGTAAGAGGACACAAGAACAGATCTTTTCCTTGTAAAAGAAAATTTTATCTGCTTAAAATTTCTGGATTAGGATTTTATTCCTGACTATCACACAATTATGTAAAAAGAGAAAGTGAAAACATTATATTTTTTTCTAATTTAGAGTGTGATGTGCTGAGTTTATTTTAAAATAATTCTTGAAAATTTCTTAAAATAGTAGATATTAGCAAATACCCATGTAGTTTAGAAAGACAAAAAGGGAAATGGTACCTAGACTTTGTTTATTAATATATCAACTTTAAGTGCTTTAAACGGTACTGAGATTCATAGAATATTATTCCCACTTTCCATTAATTCGTAGGGGTAATGTTTAAATGTTTCATAGAGGCAATTTTTTAAAATATTTTCATAGGAGCAATTTTTTAAATGTTTTGTTATTGTAAATAAACTGTGATGGATTTCATGCTAATACTTTTATTTTAGATATTTTTACTTTTTTAGTAATTGAAACTTTTAAAAAGGAAAAAACATAATTTCATATTAAGTGGGTTTTATGATGTTTTTATCAGTTTCCTGTTTATTTAGTTGGCATAGGAAGGAAATGTATCTTGAAAGTTTGAGAAGATAATTTGCTATTAACTAAACCCAACCTTTTATAGTAACCAGCATCTGTTAGTTCCAGAAAAAATAATAGATAAGAGTAAGTATAGTGAAGACACTTGTAATGATAACTATGTCAACTTGAGCCATTCATTAATCTAAATAAAGGTGCAGAAGTGAGCATATGCTTCCTGAACCAGATCATAAATTTAAATTATAGAACAGATGTGTTGAAACTAAAAAGAGATTTGAATTTTTTACAATTAAAAAAAAAAGCTTGAGAAAAGTATACATTTTGGGCACTATCCCTTTGACAGATTTGTTTAAATAATCGAAGGCTTTTGGATGACATAGAGAACCTAGCCTGAGAATTAAGATGTAGTTTTATGATGTTATTGTTGCTCTTGTTTCATGTAATCTGTCAATTAATCACGTTTGTCAAGTATAGATAAATCCTTCGACTAGTGGGACTGTCGTAAAGAACCCTTGAACCCACCTGACTGCATCACAAAACTGCCCAGCCTGTCCTTTGCATGTGCCTTCCCCTAGTCGTGCCAGACTTAGCTGTGTCTGCATTTCAGAGGGGGGCTGTCAGTTGCATGGTCAACTCATTTATTGTTTCCGGAACTCTATGATCACGATTTGATTTGTTTTCATGTAAACACACATAAAACGTTGTGCCTTTTTAGAATATCATTTGTTAAGCAACTAGGCATAGAAAAATAAATGTTATTGTTTCTTGTTAGCTACAAAACACATATCCACTAAACACATTTGCTGTTGGCATGCTGCAGTTGGGGACAGTGGACATTGCGGTAAGTGGAAAAGACAAGGCCACCACTGCATCTCAGATAACCCTTATCTATGAGAACACTGCCTGTATACCCCACTCCCCGCAGACCCCCGTCATTTCTTCAGGCCCTGCAGAGTCCCGGGCCTCTCACGTTGATGACAGTGTCACCTTCTAATAAATAGCCAGAAACAATGAAAGAAGACGACAAACAAAATGGGCGCACAAAACTTTTTACGGTTCATTTGAGTCCCACAAAAATCGCTTAGCTGTGTTGCTACCTTTATCTCCATGTTAGAGAGGAGGACTCCAAAACCCATGTCTGATTCCCACCTGCCCTTCCCAGCACATCACACCACATCTCTTGATTAGGAAAGTGTGAAGATGTACTTTGGATTTTGCTGTTGTCAATGCTTCCTTTATCAGCCCACAACAATTCAATATTACCTGGCATCAGAAAACTGAATGCCTGAACAAATATAATTTACCAGTAGCTGCCACAGCAAATCGATAACCTGTTTTATAGCAGGAAATTGTGTTAGTGAACATGACATTTCATTCTGTTAATCAATCATCACATTCATTATATGTTGGGACTGTTCTAACTTGCGTGGTTTTTTTGTCTTTCGAGAATGAATCTAAGCATAAAAGAAATGTAATGTTAAGTGTTGTATGTTTAAGATTACGTATGCAGTGCTACCAACTGCTATGAGATTGCATGAATTTATTGATACCATAACCTTGCCTGGAATATAAAAATGCATGCCGAATGTAGATATATATGTAACTGTCATCCCTGTTTTCCTGTAGAAATGTTTAGAAATTACAAAGAGACATGCTCCCAAATAAAAAATAGCTTTTTTTAAATCTCAAAAGTTAAAGTTAAAGCTAAAATCGCTCAACTGTTTTTAAAGTGAATTCCAAACCAGTTCTTGGTTATCTCCAGTGTAATCGTGTACAAACTGCTGGTGTCAGTCCTTTCTGTGACGAATCCAAGGAGGGTGTGTAAACCTGTGGAATGAGATGGATCTCAAATGAATTCAAGCATAGAGATTAAATAAAGCTCAATTTTTCAATATGGGGAAAATACATTACAATGCTCCTACTTGCTGAAAACATTTTGCCTATTGAAATACGTGACCATATACAATTTCCTCAAATTATTTACCCAAGTGGAGTGGAAGAAATTGCTTGAAATGCAATAATCCTGCCTCTGTTCTCCACAGTCAGAAGCTAAGTTTTAAGGAGCGAGTGCGCATGGCTAGCCCGAGGGGCCAGAGTATTAAGAGCCGACAAGCCTCAGTAGGTGACAGGAGGTCCCCGAGCACCGACATCACAGCCGAGGGCAGCCCCACCAAAGTGCAGAAGAGCTGGAGCTTCAACGACCGAACCCGCTTCCGGCCTTCACTGCGCCTCAAAAGTTCTCAGCCAAAACCAGTGATAGACGGTAAGCCCTGTTTTTCCGTGACCATTTTTAATTCGATAGGCTATAGTGAGTGAGATTAGGAAGTAATTAATTCTCCATGATACCACTCGAAGACAGAAGGAAAGAACCCCAGGGAAAGAACTGTTTGTTTATTTTATTGGAAATTTATTCATTGCCTTGAGCAAATGTACAGAACATAAGTTTACTTTTGGAACCAACTTTGGCAGCTAAATCTACATTTTGAAGAAGCCAAACAAAATTCTGTGAATTCTTCATTCCTATCTACAACATATTTATTTCTCAGAGAAGGTCCACATTAAGATCGGTGTGACTGTCATTCTGATATATACGTTATGTCTGACCAGTAAAAGTCCAAGGCCCAATGACAACCATGTGCTCTGTGAATATCTGAAAATACCATTAAGGGTGATCATTTCTGGTCAACAATGAAGGTGCTCTTTCCCCTTCTCACATGCTCCATCGACCACTAAATCAGAGTCCACTGCTAATCTTCCTTAGAGACATTCGTGTTGAACGTTCTTTCAAAGTCTTCCAATGATCAGTGAAATTCAAGTTCTTCTTCCAAGGTGAATTAACCTATTTTACTTATCATATTATATAGCAGACGATTACATGGTAACACATTTTATTGAGTGCTACATAATTTTCATGTTTATAAAATAAAACATTTTATTTTTATTTAAGATTAGCTTGGCTTTCCTTTTAAGTATGCCCTCCCCCACCCCCGCCGGGATCTCTTGTGCTGGGCAAAGAACCAAAATCAAATAGCATCTTCCATTAATGCATAAAAACTGCAAAGGCTATCAGTCGTTCTGTTCTCATTCCCTAGAATAACCTGTATTTTCCCAGGCCCTGAAAGCCCAAGGGATAAAATTAACAACCAGGGGTCATAATCGCAGTGATCTCAGGCTCTCTGCAGCCACGGGTCCCTCCCAGCTTACTCAGAGATCCTCGGGGTATCCCTTCCACTCTCAAGTTAGCAACACAAGCCCCTCTTCACGCTTCTTCATTCTCTACAACCCCATGGGTGCCTTGCTTTTCAATAGACCCCCAGTGTCTGGCCCGATGTGGCCCCTCCTGGCAGAGCTTGCCGCTCCCATCTGAGTTGCGGAACGTGCTGATCTCCCTTCCACCTGTCGCCGTGCTAAGGTGGGAAATGCCTCCTCCACCAACACTGGACACTCCTCCATCAAGCCACTTGCAGCATCTGAGTCACTTGTGGCACAGATTTTCAGTGTCCTCTGGTTTCCACACTCTCCTCCCTAGGATTTTGGCTGAAAGCCCTTGAGCAGCTGAGTCAAGAGTTACCAGTGATGGGGCTTTATGTTGCGCTCAAAATAGACTTGCTGAATATAAATGGGTACATCCTTTCTGGAGGGCAATTTGGCAAAATACATCAAAAGTCTTTACATATGCCTAAGCCTAGACACATCCCACCCACCAATTCTATTTCTAGGATATGATCGATATAATAAAACAATATCAGACATTAGAAATGGTGGTATATGTTAAAAATTATTGACACAGAGAGATGATCACAAAAAAAATAATCATTCCATTTTATATATATAAATATGTAAAAATTCATGTGTTTATAGGAAAAAGTCTGGAAAGATTTACAACAATGTATGAACAGTTACCTCCAACTGATGAGATCACTGTTATGTTTTGTTTCTTCATTTTCTTCATCTGTATTTCCATTATTTCTAAAGATCATGTAAAGCTCTTATACTAAGAAAGCAAAAGAGGATTTTTTATTTAAAAAATTAACCCTTAGCTTATAAAAACAAAATAATAAAACAGAAAAAAAGATTTTAAAATGATCCTTCATTTCACACACTGCCCTCTCGCCACCCCCTGCTCTAGGGGCCCTTGAATAACTGGTGCTCACCAGCCCCTTCTTGGGCCGATTTCCTCCCCAGTGCTAGAAGGTGCACCTGCTCTTGGTGGCGGGGACCAGCCTTCACTGAGTGCAGCCATGCACTGCCTAATGCTGTCTCACAGCTCCCACTACAAATAGAACTTGTATTAGTTTGCTCATGATGCCATAACAAAATACTAGATGCCTTAAACAAAGAAACTTGTTTTTTCGCAGTCTGGAAGCTAGAAGTCCAAGATCAAGGTGCCAGCAGGGTTGGTTCCTTCTGAGGGCTCTCTTTTTGGCTTGCGGAGGGTCTTCTCCCTGTGTCTTCATGTGGTCTTTCCTCTGTGCATGTCTGTGTCCTAATTTCCTCTTTCTATAAGGATATCAATCATACCGGATTAGGGCCCACCCTAATAACCTTATTTTAACTTAATTCCCTATTTAAAAACCCTATCTATAAATAGTGACACATTCAGAGGTACTGGGGGTTAGGACATCAATATATGAATTTTGGAGGGACACAATTCAGCCCATAACAGAGCTCCTGCTCACCCACATCACAGCATCCCTGGCAAGCTGAGATGTGCCCATATCGTCAGCCCTGGCCCTGAGTTCACACTGTTCTAGAAACACATGCATTACACGTTACAGTGGGTCCACGTTCTTCTAACATGGGCTTCCCAAAGCAATCACCTTTGTGTGTAAGGTCCTTACAGTTGGCTGAGCACATTTAAATGAAAAATTCATAGAATCTGGATTCTGAATATGAACAATGAATTCTACGTGTACTGCTTGGCCAGAGGGGAAGAGTTTTTCAAAGGCTCACTAGAGTCAGCACTATTCATCACTGTATTTTTTAGTATCTGCAAAGATGTCTCAGAGATCATGGATACAGAAGTCCTATTCTCTATCAAATCATAAATTAGAGAGGTCTCCTGTCGTCTGTTTTCTAGATCATTTCATACAAGTACATTTTTGTTTGGTTAGAAAGGAATTGCTTCTCCCTAGTCGATGCCCATCTCAACTGATTGCAAGTTCCCCAAGTGACAAGAGGACTGATTGCTGTTCTGTTGAAGTAGCTTTGTTGGCTGCCCCCCTACGGGAGATGGTGGCTCCTCACTCCTCATTTAATCCAGAATCTTTACCTTTGATTTAACTTGACATTGGGTCTTGGGTAAATGGAAGTTCTTTTTTTTACAGAAAAAGAAAAAAAAACTCAAGTAGCTATCAAATCAATACAGACTTCAATTATACATTTTTATTTACAGTGCCTCCCCAGGTTTCAAGTATTTCCAAAATTCACTTATTACTCATAGAAAATAATATATAACACTTACAGCCAACTTTCAATTATTCCAAGTCTAGTTGCTCATTCACTTCTGAGATTCTTTTCTTCTCTCTTTCCTTCACACATTTTAGGCATTTCATTGCCCGTTTGTGTGCTCAGGAAGAGTAGATGAATAGAAGAAAGAATAATAGAAATTCAGATCAACCTTTAAGTTGATAACTAGA